GTGTGTGTGTGTGTGTGTGTGTGTGTGTGTGTGTGTGTGTGTGTGTGCGCTCCAACTAAGTATGATCTCAGAACCAGCTATAACACTGCAGTCATGTTTTTCATTTTGTGCTTCCGTGGCATGTCCAAAACAGATGGCAACATACACCCAAACCAGTCATAGGCAAGTAGTTAGATGAGAATGGCAGCCATGGTTTAGATGGCTATGTGCATACTAGTTAGAGAGAGTGGATTTAAAAGGAAGGTATACAGCACAGAATGACTGGAAATAGAGTGGTAACAGCTAAATTTCTGTCAACCAGCCCACTTTACAATGAAGAGCCAAATACGTATTCGTGTGCATTCTGATCGACTGACAGTCGCGTGCTTGGTGACAGTCTCTCTCATGGGGTGCTCTACAATCTGATGTCCTGATCACTGAAGTTTGTTAATTTCCATCTTGGAGATGGAAAGCCATTTCAGAAATACAGAAATCAGGTTACGTTGGGTATATTAAGGTTTTGTATCCTTTCCGAGTGTGCTTATTGTATAGCTGTTCATCAAAGGTAAAATACTGTTAGGTAAATTCCCCCCCCCCCCCCCCCCCCCCCACCGCTCATGTTTTCAGTCATCTGAATGCAGGACCTATCTTGATAGGAATTTATTTTTCTGTTCCTCATGTACTAAAATATTTTGTTTCTAATGCCCCCAATTCTTGATTGTCTGTCTGTCTTTTCAGAGAAGCCTGTATTATACTCCACTATGCCCAGTACCGATATTTTCAGAAGGGAAAACACACTTGTATTCTCACAGGAGGAGCTGCCTGTGAAACTTCCCCAGTGGTCAAGTCCCCCAGACACTGTAGTGGCAGGCAGCAGTTTGCCAGCTCATATGTTCCAGCCAGCTGTATTGTTATCTCCGCCTAGACAGAAAAGTATCCAGGAATTCTCTCCTCTTCAGAATGGTGAGATAGTGGCCTCTCTCTTTGGACAGAATGAGATCCATATCCTTCACATATGGTGTGAAATATATCGTGCTCCCTCTTTCAAATATTTTATTCTTTGTTGAATGAACTTCCACCAGGATTTGGCCTTGCCCACTTGTTTTTTGGAGGCAGCCCTTCTATGCAAGTTCACAGTTTTGGCAACTAGGTGCCTGGCATCAGAACCCAGATCTCTTGCCTCTGAAGCTGGAGCTGTGTTACTGCCCTCTCCTGTTTGCTTGTCTTTCTGTTGACTGCTGACTCTCAATTTCCACAGCCCCTGCTGACGAGTAAGCTTTCCGTTATGAAGCATGGCAGAAAGAAAATTACCATTAATCCTCAAAAATAATTTTTAACTGTAGCCTATGTACAAGGCTTCAGTAAGTTTTTAACCATATGGGAAGTCTGAAGAGTTTGCACTGTATTGTTGTTGTTAGGGGTGATAAATGGTCTGTCATTAGATCTTAAATTTCTTAAAGAACCTGTTTTTTAAAATGTTAACTCCTAAACTATAGATTTACTTCTAAGTTCTGAGAAAAGTCACACTGTACTCAAATGCTGTAATTTGGGGAAAGACAAACAGCGCTGGCTTAGCAGCGGGTAACTGACATGCGCTGTTTTTAGCATTTTGCACATTTCCTCTGATGTTGATTCTGGGCAGTAACAAAGAGAATAACTAGAGATCAATCTTTATAAAATGGAGGACTTACTCAGCCATAAAATAAATGTTTTTATTTCAAAGTTCCCAACTGATATTGCAAACTGAAAAGTTCAGCTCCTCTCTTTCCTGGCTCCTCAGCCCATTACCCTCTGCTAGCTTTAAATCCAAGTACAGTAGAACCTCCGAGTTATGAATATCTCGGGAATGGAGGTTGTTCATAACTCTGAACAAAATATGATGGTGGTTCTTTCAAAAGTTTACAACTGAACATTGACTTAATACAGCTTTGAAATTTTACTATGCAGAAGAAAAATGCTTCTTTTAACCATCTTAATTTAAATGAAACAAGCACAGAAACAGTTTCTTTACCTTGTCAAATCATTTTTAAATCTTCCCTTTATTTTTTAGTAGCTTAGGCTTAACACAGTACTGGACTGTATTTGGTTTTTGTTCTTTTGTTGGGGTGGGGAGTCTCTGCTGCTGCCTGATTGCGTACTTCTGGTTCTACCGGTCAGTTCATAACTCTGGTGTTTGTAACTCTGCGGTTCTACTGTAATTGTTAAAATACTTGACCTCTTTTGGGGAACATGAGCCAAAGGTGTACCCTGAGTAGAAAACTATCCATGTCCCCATCCTTAGTTGAGTGTTACAGTTCAAGCCCTTCTCTGTGCCTTAGCTCCATTAGGTTAGTGCTGCACAGTCACTCCCCATGTTGAAGACAGCTTGTTTACTGTTCCTTTACTCTTTGTCTATAGCATTGAAGAAGACAGTTCAAACATATCCTGCATCCCACATCTCTCCATCTATGGAAACCACTGTGAGAGAGCCAAACTGGCAAAAGAGCTCATCTTCCTCTGTGGGAACTCAGAACACAAATGAAGAGAATCGTCTCCTCGCCCAGAGGTGGCGAATTCCTCCTACGCACAAAGACTTGGAGAGTTCTTTACTGTCAGATGGTCAGCAAGGAAGAAGCACCTTGTCCCCACTGGACAGATGCGCCATTGCTGGCTCTGAAGACGAGCAGAAGCCCAGTGCACCTGAGGAGCACACTCAAAGCAATGATCTGTTAGGACAGATAGCTGAGCTAACACTGCAGAACTCTGTTATCAAAGCTCAGCTGAGCAAATTCAGAGACCGTTCTCAAGAGGCAGGGGATGGCCTGCATCAGCCAGTTACAAAGCAAAATATGAACCCTAGTTTAGGATCGGCCATGCAGGGACAGGTAAGAATGTAAGAGAAGGTAAAGATTGGGTTGCCCTTCATCCCTCATCTCCATTTCCCCACAAAGTATTGATTGATTTATTTATTTATTTATTTATTTTGGTATCAGGTTTGGGTCTCTCTCTCTCTCATTCCCAACTTTTGCCAGTCACTGTAAGGGAGCGAGTAGAAGAACTTGGTGGTGTGTGGGGAGGTCCTTTTCTTTTTCTTTTTTTTTTTTTTTTTTTTCTTTAACCTCATCCTGTCTTGACTCCGTCATCTTCCAATTTCCCTTTCACTGGGGATTGCAACTGCAGTTCCTCATGTGAGGCCAGGATAACAATGTAAGCAGCCTTTTCGAAGGTGGAAGTCAATGTTGTCTAGGTGCTGGTGAGTGAAGGATGCATGGCAGACTTAAAAAGGCTTACTCTCTTGTCCCATGTAAGCAAGACTGGCTTATCCTTAATGTCTTTGGGAAAGAGAGGCCTTTGTCTACACTAGGAAAATTGGGACCTGGAATTAACCAGCAGTGCATCTCCACCAGTAGTGGTGTAGATAGGCCACTGCTCTGAGTAGGAATAGACAACACACACACCTGAAGCCTGCCTCCACTAGAGTCTCGACTCGTGCTACCATCAGTGGAGCTGCATGGCTGGTGAACTAGGGGGTCCTAATTTTCCTAGTGTAGCTATAGCCTAAGGGCTTAATTCTCCATTTTCTTACACAGTGTCTAGTTGTTTACAGCTGTGTAAAGTGGGTATAGAAACAGGAGATTTCTGTTTTACCATCTCAGAACACTTTCTCCCCTGCACATCTAAAACACGCTTTTTTAGTGAAACATTTGCTTGACTGTGGTTGGTTGATTGGAGTGAGATAGAGAAGAAAGCTTTATGCCAGGGGTCGGCAACCTCTGGCACGCGGCTCACCAGGGTAAGCACCCTGGCGGGCCGGTCCAGTTTGTTTACCTGCTGCGTCCGCAGGTTCAGCCGATCGCGGCTCCCACTGGCCGCGGTTTGCCGCCAGCACATCCCTTGGCCCGCGCCGCTTCCCGCAGCCCCCATTGGCTTGGAGCGGCGAACTGCGGCCAGTGGGAGCCGCGATCGCCCAAACCTGCGGACGCGGCAGGTAAACAAACTGGCCCGGCCTGCCAGGGTGCTTACCCTGGCGAACCGCGTGCCAGAAGTTGCCAACCCCTGCTTTATGCTGTCTGTTGTGGGCAGTTTAACTTCATGAGAACATGCATTTAATCTGTCAAGCAATGAGATGCTAGAGCAAAAGGCACATAAAATCAAAGGTTTACCTAAAAGATGCTCTAACTTTTTAAAGTTACTGAAACCAAATTCAGCCTGAAGGGTCAGTTTATATGAAAACACTTAATCTACTGCATGCCCTCTAAGACTGCAACTTCCAAATTTATTTTGTTTGTAATGATTTGTGTTAGACTTTGCCAGAAGTACCAAAGAGCTTGGAGGAACGAATAGCAGAGCTGAACCGCCAAAGTGCAGAAGCCCGTGGTAAACTGCTGCAGCTGATAGACCAGCAAAAATTGGCCACTGTCAACCCTCTCTCTCCACCAGTATCGCCTGTTTTACCTCCCCCCATAAATTGGACTGGTATGTAGTGTGTCCCGTGGTCGTTGTTGTCTTCCCCCGGCTGCCTTTTTTTTTTTTTTTGCTACACAGTAAGGTATTTACCTATGTACCAACTATCTTCAGTTGACTAAATCAGCAATTCCCAAACAGTGTGATCAACAGCGCACTTGCTGACAATCCACTGAAAGCTGTTTGTTCATGTGTTCTAGGCTCTCCTTGTTTTAGGGTGACCAGATGTCCCGATTTTATAGGAACAGTCCTGATTTTTGGAGCTTTTTCTTACATAGGCTCCTATTACCCCCCACCCCCGTCCCAATTTTTCACACTTGCTGTCTGGTCACCCTACCTTGTTTATAGCTGCTAAATTTCATTAAGACAGGTAAAAATACATCAGCTAACATTTTCCTAAAGTTACTTTTCTATGTAAAAAATGACAAAGAGCATGCATCTGACGAAGTGAGTATTCACCCACGAAAGCTTATGCTCCAATACGTCTGTTAGTCTATAAGGTGCCACAGGACTCTTTGTCGCTTTTTACAGATCCAGACTAACACGGCTACTCCTCTGATACTTTTTTATGTAATTAATTGCTGCAGTTGTGTCACTGCCTGCTATATTCACTCTTCATCATGCTAATGTCCATAGAGCCATTACAATGAGTTTGTTAGCCTGCTTACAGTTTGGGCGCAGAACTAGACTTGTCAGTCATGGGCAGCAAGGGAATGCCTCCCCTCCCCTTATTCTGCTTCCACAGTGGCAAGCAGCTTGATGAGGCCTCCCTTCTGCAGAGCTTTTCTGAGGAAAAATCCAATATTTTATTTCAAATTTCTGACTTAAAAATCCCACTCAGTAATTTGGCCATCTTATTCTTTGTCGTGTCCCAGGGCTGTCGGCCTTTTGAGGAGTCTTTTCCCTTAGGTCTGGTTCCTTGCTGAGGACCTGCAGGATCCTCTGAGGAGATTAAACTGTATGGCACACTAGAGAATAGTCAGTGCAGACTTTATTTTTCCCTGCTAGTCCAAGGTCCATGGATTAACTACCATGCTTTTTTTTTTTTTTTTTTTTTTTTTTTTTTTTTTTTTTTTTTTTTTT